GTCTTTTGCTAGCGTCCAATAACACAGCACTGGTTCTGCATGAGCCAGGCTAGGGAGCACGCACATGTCCTCTTGGTGAGGTGTTCAGCTGGTCGGTCCTGTCATGCTTGTAAAGGTGTCAGCCCTGGCTTTCAAGCACCTGTGCCCTCCCATCGGGTCCCAGCATCAGGGGGGTGCTGGGTGGGCTCCATAGGTATAGGTCTGCTCCGCGTCAGGCTTCTCCAGTAGGGGCTGTGCCTGTACGGGGATCTAAGATGTCTCTGTAACCTGCTCCAGTAGTATTCTTCTTGTTGGGGCTGCCGACATATCCCCAGGGCAGGCTGTCATGGCGGTCCAGTGGGGCTGGGTACGCTCATCCTCAGTCTGCTCGATCATGCTGTTTTTTTGCGCACATGGCTGTTGTGCGGTGGCCATCTTGTGGAGTGTTGCCCACGGGCTGCTGCACGCCAGGCGGGTGTTTAGGCCCGGTTTGATGCGATGTTGGCACCCTTGCAGACCGGGATGGCCCCCGGTCCGGGTGGTCGGGGGGGAGATCGAGACGCCGGCCGAAGACCAGGGAGAGCGGCCGTCTCGTCACGGTTCAAGCCCCATTGGGCTCCGGGTCCCTGTCGGGTCACTTTCGGTACCAGGTCAGGTCTTGGGCGTTATCCTCGCATTCCCCAGTGGTTGGGGGTCAGCGTGGTCCTCGGCGTGGATTGCTGGTTGCGGCCATCCTCCCGTTAACGTCAGTTTTCGGGGTCCGGAGCAGGAGCTCAGACAGAGCGCGTCTGATCCCGTCGGTTGTCAGGCCCCGCCCCCCTATAAATATATACTTTTAAGGTATTTTAACATTATTTTTTTATTTTTTTATTATTATTCCCACCAGCAGGGGGACTGTCTGACAGTTCAGACAGTCACCCTGCAGGCAGATCCACAGCCAGCTATAGGGGGCTTGATTTGCCAGGGGAGGGCTGCCTGGGCTGTCAGGCAGTCCTCCCGAATCAGATTGATTGCTGGGGACTATCGTTCAGCATTAAAAAAAAAAAAAAAAAAAAAATGTAAATGTAAATGTATGCAGAGTGGAAGGACGGTACCTTGGGACTACAGGCACTCTAAAAACTTTAAGGAGATTACGTAGTTACACTGTCCCTTTAACCTCTCCATAGCGCTGGAGAATTTATGGGGAGATAAGTGTCAACTGATGCTCCACATGGTTTGTTGAAGAAAGAGAAATAAACTACTGGAAATCAAACATAATTTGGCCTTATTTTAATTTTCTGTATGGCAGAGGGAAGGAATTAAAAAAAAAAAAAACCTTGAATTTATGTTCACCATTTTCCATTGACAAGTTTTTATAGTGAAGTCATCTAAAGCTAATAAGAGAACTGACATATGATGTACAATTTTTAAAGATTGTGTCCTTTCATTCTTGGCATAATTTTACACTTGCATGCTGCCAAAAACAAAGTAGAGAAAGAGTGGTGGAGATGTGCTTGTGGTTACATATATCTAATGAGATATACGTTACATTTTGTTTATAGAGTTAACATTTTGTAAGGTAGTTTTAAATCACTGAAGCCTAATTAGCTAAACAATTTAAAAAAATATATATATAATATTGTGGCGTGTTCATTCGTAATTATTGCTTTTGTGGCATAAAATCTCTTCACAAAGTTAGATAATTATTGTTATTGAAATAAAACTATAGATGGTAGGTATGCACTATAGTAAGTTACTGTAGAAAGCACATATAGGCTAAAATTTAAATTGTCAACATTCTCTCAGTTCCATTAATATTTGAAGATAAACCCAGACAGATTTATTGAGCTTTAAGGTGCAATATTTCGGTTCCAAAGAGCCTACATCAGCCTTGATGGAGCTCAAACTTTTTGCGTCTTATGTCTCATGAATTTACCTGAAATTATATCCAACTTCTGCCTGGTCTTCCTCTGTTTTAAGGATCACCTTGGAGTAGAGCCACTCTTGACTGATGGCATTCAGATTTCCTTTTTTTGTATCTGCGTTAACATAATTTATCTTTTGAACATAATATTTGTCACCATGAACTAGCGATGACATAACCTTTTCCATTCTTGTAGAAAACAAGCGAGTGGAGAAACGTTGAAGGATTCTGAGCTCCCAGACGTGGAGGAAGATGATGGAGCTTCATGAGTATCACATTTCCAGATTCAATTAACTTGCTGCTGTGGCCTGCGCATTCCTATATTGCACAGACTTACTCATGACCACCATCATAAACCAAAGTTTTTGGACTGCGACAAAAACCTAATGTGACAACAACACGGTGAAAGTCTTGGTTAAAAGATGTTACAGGTTTACATATGTCTGAAGAATGCTATCACATCATGGAGATTCTATGTCACTTGTGCTATATGTGTCGGTATGCATGTATGTGTCAATGTTTGTGTACACAGGGAAACCAACCATGTGCCTCATCTCCATCTGTGCTTCTGCATTATGCAGTCGGTGTAGCTTGAGGATTGCTTGACCAATGAATGTCCAAGTTATAATAAATGAACCAAAAGCTTTATGTGGGGAAGATGTTTAATAATCTGTAAATACTGCATCTTGACTAGTTTCTGGGGCATAGTTTTATGCATTGTGCTGTAGATGCTCCAGAACAATGTTTTTTTTAATATAAAAAGTATGACATTAATAAGGATTTAAGTTAATACATATACAGAAATCTATGTTTGCTGCTGAGATAAAGTAACTGTGTTGATGTTAGATTGCACAACTTTTGCCTCCAAGTACAGTAGGGTGGAGGTTCCCTTTCAGGCTTAGTCTTTATCATCTGACCTTCTAATGTATAGAACTGTTTACATTTGTTACATAAAGGGCTATTTCTGAATTGCACCTCTACACCCACATTACCTATTTTTAGGTTGTATGTTCTATACAAACAAGCAGTACTCTGCCAGCATGTAATGTAGTGCATTGATTTAAAGGGACAGTATATCAGTTCAACATTGAATGCTTATTGTAATTTTTGTTTGTGGGTGGAATTACTGAAAAAGTACGTGTTTTCTACCAACAGCTAAAGAAAGCGAATATTCTGACAAATAGCACATAGTGAAATTGCATAGTAAAACCTTTCAGATTCTCTCATAAAATGTTGCTCAGCAACTGAGTTTTATTCACTGTGCTTATAACTGTTCTACCTGACAGTCAAACATTAAATATACATTCAAAAGATTACTAAAAGGCCATTAGAGTATTCCCTGCCAAAATGTTTTTTTTTAATCACGGTTTACTATTCGCGTAATAGCACAAATACAGATAAAACACATCTCAATAAAAAAGTTATAATATTGTTCAGGTATATAATGTATACATAGATTTAAAGAAATTATACAGTACTAAACAATGGCTTAATTACCCTTGATTGCCTGCCTAACGGGTCTCAGGCTAATGAAAGGAGTTCTTGCTATACTAATTTTTTATGGTATAAACATGTAATGACCTTTATTCTGTACATTGTCTATTCACTACAGTGCTTATTAGGAAACAATTTGTGAATTACTGTTAGGTCGTTTTTGTGTTTGCTAGCACATAGTTTAAAATAACATAGAATATAAAATTATATTATGCACTTTTTAAATAGGCTGAGTCAAATGCATACCAGAGTGGCACTAAGAGGATGAGCAAGATCCATGGAGTATATTGCTTTATTTAAACAGGAAATTGAAGGGAAGTTTCGTTTGAATACCAAAATTTAGGAAAAAATAATGAAAGATGTTACTCTGAGTTGTAGAATTTTCCCAAATCAACTATCTTTGACTACATTTTGCAATTCAGTCTACATTTCACCACAGTTTGCTATTTAATAATAATTTTAAGAATACGTTCTTATGTTTGTTTACATGGGCTTAACAATATGATTATATCCTCCTATATATGATATTGGAAGTGGGATCAATTAAGTTCAAATGAGTGTATATGGTTTTGTTTTTTTAAACACAGTTGTTATTATATAAATTAAATATTATTTTTAGTTTCCTACAATTAACGATCAACTTGCAGGTTAATGTCCTGAGCACATTAAGAACAATTTAAATAAATAATTTACACGTGTCTTCTTGATAATACAGTATTGATTGATACGTTGAAAGTGCTTTAATAAGTTATAGAAGTCTCACAAGATACCTCACCTTAGCCTTATTATATAATGTTAATATTTAGAATGGGGCTTGATGACACTGAGGCAAATAATGATAATATTGGTTAAATAATTCTGTTCTAATCAATATGTTTGGGATCCTTGTTGCAAATGTAAATTCTTGCATCTTTTTCTCCCACATATGCTTTGACTGTTAACTGAAATGTATCTCACTGCTGAGGTTTTTTCCACTCTAATGTTGAAGGAATGGTAGCACTTTTTTTGTTTCTTCAGTAAAACACAATTTTAATGTTTTTCTTTAAACTATCTACTCTCATATATATTTCTTTTTATATCTGATTAAACTCTATAAACATATGCAGGTTGTTTCTGAATAATACCTTACTTACAAGAGTACAATTTAAAAAAGTAATGTTTTATGATTAGAATGAGTTTTGTTTTAAAAACCCTAAAATGCAATATCACTCATTTTATCTTCTATTAGCATTACCTAGAAAACAGTCTCATAAGTTGTTTACCGTGGAAAGTAACCAGTTTTTGATTCTTCCATTAATATAGATCACTAAAATAAATGTTTTTCTAATCATGCAACATACTTAAAAAGTATATGTAGAATTTTTTTAAATCTTCAATGCAATATATGTTCATCTCATACTACATGATAATCTTTGGACATCATCAACATGTCATTCTAATAAAGATGCCAATGACATACCCAGCAAAATGGCACCCTATTTGTACAAGTAGACGTTAAATAGGAGTTGTCTACTCTAGAAGCCTAACTTTTTCATGAGTAACATGCTTCTATCCCAAAAATATTTCACACACATATACACACACATCACATTCACTTTATACACACACATCACATTCACTTTACGCACATTACACACACATCACATTCACTTTACGCACACTACACACACACTGCATTCACGTTACGCACACTACACCCACTGCATTCACTTTACGCACACGACACACACACTGCATTTACTATATGCACACGACACACAAACTCTGCATTCACTATATATACACACACTACACAAACACTCACTGCATTCACTATACACACTACACAAACACACTCTGCATTCATTATATACACACTACATCCACTACACACACACTACACAAACACTCAGACACACATACACTCAGACACACATACACTCAGACACACACTCACAGATGAACACAAATACACTCATACATATACACTCACAAACACGCACTCACAGATTGACAGATACACACACACACACAAACTGACACACATACACTCATACACACACTCAGACACACACACTCACAGACACACACTTACACTCATGCATACACATTATTATTATTACTACTGATATTTATATAGCACCAGCATATTCCGTATCGCTTTACAATATTATCAAAGGGGGAGATTTAACAATAAATAAGACAATTACAAAAATTTACAGGAACAATAGGTTGAAGAGGGCCCTGCTCAAACGAGCTTACAGTCTATACACTCCTACACACACACACATAAAAGCTCATACACACACACACACACTCTCACAGACACACTCACAAATTATTATTATTGGGGGGCGGGGCCTGACCAGCAAGGCAGCCAGACGTGCTGAAAGTGAGCTCCTCACAAAAATCTTGTAATCCAAACCTTTACAGTGGGATTATTGCCCCCAAATGACCACCAAACAGTTCATTATCTGTTCCAGTATGCAGGGGAGCTTTCTTGTGCGAGTCTGGAGCCTCTATTATCGACCTGCGGCTCGAAATTAAATTTGGGCCTACAAGCTTGAGGCGGGCCTTGAGGAGGGGAAGCAGCCATTCTCCCTCCTGGACCTTCTGCAATTACTGAAGAGGTTGCCCCGTTCACCCCCCCCTTTGGACCGGTGGGGGTTATCCCGGTCCCCACCAGGGAAAAAGCAACAGCGGACCTTGTGGCGATACAGCTAAAAGCTATTGGGACAGAGCACGACTGCATGGTGCTGTTAAAATGGCCGCCACAACAACCACACACTCAGCAAGCAGCTGGGAAGCCAAATTTACTGCTACCTTTGACGCGATCTGCGCAGCATTTTGGAGCCGACTGGAGGCCCGTCAAGCAGAACGGATACTCACCGTACCCTTGGTACCTGCGGTACCCCCTGGGCCAGGAGTCACAATGGGCGCGGTGCCCGTCAAGCAGCCACACAAGAGGGAAACTGCCTGTGGTATGGAGAATCCCCAGGACGTCAACCCTTTCAAGGGAGCTGGAGGGGCTGGTGGTTCCCAGGCACCGGCTCGTCGGCCGACCCGGGTTCGGCGGGCGGAGCGGATGATGGAACGCCGCTCGATTGATCCATACAAAAATACAGTTCTTCATGCACCCGAGGGCCTCTTGACACAGAGGGGATGCTGGAGCAGAAACACCAAGCAAACCATGGAGAAGTGCAGAATTGGCTCCCAGAAGAAGCCTGCTTGTGGCATCGGCTAAGTAGATGAACTGCCTTACCATAAGCAAATAATCTGCAAGTGCCCCACACTAGCCAAGAATGTTATTCTGTTTATTCTGTTTTTTTTTTTGTCTGTGATTCCTGTCACATGCTTCTCAATTTGCCACAGGCATTTAGTTGTAACGACATTACATTAAAGAGTCCCAGTGGCCACCACACTAATTTTAACACCTTTCCCATAACAACCTGGTGGATCTTCTCATGTGTTTCTCCTCATGCGTTTTTAGTTAAAAATTCATATGAAGCCTGCAATATCCAAGTCTGTCATTAGTCATGTTTTTTCTATTACTTTACATACCATAAAATGTGAAAGTCTTTTCACATGTCAGGTGGCAACTATGCGACAGTAGCTACAGCGTTTACTTCCATTTGACATGTAATAGTAAGCTTGAATACGTAACTTAACTTGTGAGAAAAAAAAAAAGTGCAGTTATCAATTACATGCCATACTAATCTGTTTATTGAAATGTTTATGTCTGCCGTTGTGGCATAGCAAGCATGATTGTTAATCTTTTTGCACAACAAAAATAAAGAATTACAAAAAAAAAAAATTATTATTATTATAACTTTAAATTTTCCACCCAGCCTTCCTAACTGGAGAGCTGTCGTTGGGGGTCCAGTGGGAATGCTGTGAGGCGGGCAGCTGTGTTAGCATCAGACGCGGCGAAGGAGATGTGGTCTTCCTGCTCTGTTCTCTTGCATCTCGCGGGCCACCTACTGTTGCCGGGAGCCGGAATTACATCATATTCCAGCTCCTGTCATGAGCAAACAGCGCGTGAGGGAGCAGAGCAGGAAGACCACAGCTCCCTCACCACCTCTGATGCCAACACAGCTGTCCAATAATACTTTATCATGGTAAAGAAATGCAGGTGCAATAGAAAAATATATCCGTCAGGTTACATAGTGGGATGGAACAAGTATATAACAGATTATAAACCAAAGCATATAAGTAGCAATCAGTGCTAAGTATTAAGTCTGTACCTAAATGGTGTATCCGTGGACTTTGGGAGGTCCACTCTACTGGTATATAATGCTAATGTGTTGTTATGCCTCAACAGAAATTGAGGTATCTGGGTAACAAGGTGTGACTAAGTAGATTCATGTTGTCAGTTTGGTGGAAGTGTAGGTATCGAGAGAGCATCAGGAACACAAATTTGTATTCCTGACACCATAGTTCTAAAACCGCTGTTTAGGTGGCTGGTCCCCCTTACCCCGGGTTAGACGGCTGATTTATTCACCTTTTTCCAGCGCAGCACGGGGCTCCTCAGGTCTGGTCCAGTCCCCAATCAGTCTCCCCGGCTGACATTATCAGAATTAATTATCTCAGCCAATAACAATGCTTTACCATAGGAAAGCACTGGATTAGCTGGGATAATCAATTCTGATGATCCCAGCCAAGGAGGTGGGGCGGGGGCAGAGCCAAACTCCACCCTGGCCAATAAGCTATAATCTCCTCATCTCTATGGGGAAAGTTTAGCATCTCCACGCTGAACGTCAGCGCTGTACACTGTGCAGCACTGACCCAGGCAGCACCGCTTGTAACCGTGTGAGGAGTGGGCACTAGAGGTGTTCCTAGGCTGTTATGTAAACACTGCCTTTTCTCAGAAAAAAGCCTGCATGGACTGACTATACTCACCAGAACAACTGCAAAAAGCTGTAGTTATTTTGGTGACTATAGTGTCACTTTACATATAAATGTTATAGTGAAGCCTCAGATTTTGCAAAAGAAACCCAAGATGCCTTGAAAATGACGACAAAAAATATTTCACATAAAATCTATTTTGTGCTGTTACCAGGTAAACACTATAGTAACCGTGATCACCTGCTCTTGTTTCAGGAATGTCATGATGTCGAGGCTGTGTGACCTGACACCATGGTTCTCCTCTTTCAGAAACGTGGGACTCTAGTAGATACGTTTGTTAAACCCTCGCTGTCTGCTTTGGTCAGCCAAAGCAGTCAAATTAGAAATATAATTTCCAGCTCGTCTATATTTCCAGCTAGGTTATACAGCTGAAATATAAAATGACCAGCAAATCTTGTTTTAGTAAATAACCACACTTTAAATTAATTTGGCAACACCAAACAAACCATTTGCATTGGGGTTGGAAAATGAATTGTCGTATACAAACAGGGCTATTCACTAAACCGTGAATTGTCTGGAATCAACAAAGGAATTGCAAATATTTTTTTTTTTTTTTTTTTTAAAACAGCTGAACTAGAAGAATGCCTAACTTGGGGGATGTTTTTCAATTCAGCTATTTTGTCATGAAATTCCTTACAATTCTCGATTTGTAATTAACCCTGACCATTGCAAGCATATCAGACTAAAGATTGCATGCGATCCTGGGAATACAGTGGGTTTCTCACGTATTCCAAGCACTAACAGACTGGTCTCCGTGGTTACTGGTTTGTGACTCAGACACTACATTTATTACATGTTACAGAGTGAAATAATTGACCTAAGCGTTGCAGAGCAACAACTTCCAATTATGCAGAATGGTAGTTTTCTGTTCTGGTCCATTCCTGCCTCTCACCTCCTATTATACCTTGCTGCGATGAGATAAAATAGATCCTAACACATAGTGCAAATGTTTAAATCTCATATCTATAATAAATAAAAACTCCAAATTAGCATACAGAACGTTTTCATAATGTAAAGAAGACTCCAACCCTTGCAATGAATAGTTCTTTTCCACAATCATCCAGAGAAGCCAGATTTAACAGTTTAGAGTGATGTCAAGTCTTTGTCAGGAAAGTAAATATTCAATGATGTTCACCAGTGATCATTTGCCCTATGCCCGATTAAGTTCTTGATTTTCTGAGAACACTGAATCCCCACCTGCAAGAGCAGACCAGAAACCCAGGATAGCAAAGGAACCTTTAAAGCTGGGGAAGAGTAAAACAGTTATCTACAGGACCAGCCCACCGAAGAAGAGATTGGTCAGGTCTTGGTAGAAGAAACATGTAGTTGAGTTCACAGAACAAAATGTGCTCTGAACGCAGATACGTCAATAGTAGTAAAGTAACCTAGGTAACCTTATCAGAGATGCATTCTATGTGTATTCTAAGATGTATACCTCGAATGTTGGTTCTGACATGCACTATGAGGGTCTAGAGCAGGGGTGGCAACATTGACTACATTTCCCATAATGCTCTTATAGCCTTAATGCTGGCAAAGCATCAGGGGAGATCTGGAGTGCAGAAGGTTGCCTACCCCTTATCTTGAATATACAAAAACTGCTGAACTTGCAATTCTTTCACCAATGAGGGAGTTACAGGACATTTTATTATTATAATGAGGTGGATCGCAGGTGGCATTGGATGTGTTTACCCCCTCCTCCCAAAAAAATGGTGCAGCTGTTGTTTTCCTAAGCATTAAAGTGGTTAAATGAATGTGATAAAATAGGTAGGTGATAAAGTAAACATTATTTTTTTTAACCAGAAAATTGGTTGAATCTGGGCCCAAGAGATTTGTTACTTATTTCAAATCCATTAAAGTCACTGCTCTTGCATGGTTTCTTATGTCAAACATTGACAGGGTTATTCATTGAAGTGAGAATTCATAGTCCTTTTCAAATTTCCGTACCCAAGCTGAGAAGACAGAAAATGTTCCCAGTTCAGCTATTTTGACCTTAAAAATAGACTTTCAATTCCCACTTTAGTAAATATACCGGATAATCGAAGTGTTTGCATAGAAATAGAAATGTCAAGTAATAGATTGGTACACATTCTGGACAAATAATGACTGATTTTCTTTCATTTTAATAAATTTTAATGAAACAAAAAAATTATTTATTGAAGCTGTATGCTTCATAAACCCTTACATTAGGCAAAATCCAATGAAATTATAACTGATAAACCAATCCTGCATCATTTCCCTAAATATTTGTTCCTGATATGAAGTATTTTGCTTATGTTCATTCATAATCAACTAGGCTAAAATGATATGATATATATGCCAAGTACTCTGTTTTGTTTTCTATAACATTTCATCTGTTAAATATAAAGCACAATCCTCATTTTGCAAACTTGTTTTTCTGAAAACATTGTCAAGATGAGTCATTTTGGACAGTCTGTGTGTCTGGATAATAAACCGCATGTAGCTGCACTCTAATGATATGGAAAGACTGTCCCTTTTGGTAGTAACAAGCAAAAAGCAAGACATAGCATCTCCTTCAAAGTCTCCCTGCAGAGTTCACTAGTACAGCAATGGGACTCCCAAGGCCACAGGTGCTAATAATTGTTTATAACAAAACTCCTAGAAATCAATGTATGTTTCGTTCTTTATTGGCAGCAGTCTTTCTGGAGATAGCATGTATTATGCACATATATAAAGCATTTTCCTATAATATCAAAACAGTAGAGATTTTAGTTCATCGAGATGTTTCTCTGAAACTATATACAGTGTAACAATCTTTTTAAAAAACTGTCAAGATTAGTTTGAATTGTGGCCTTCGTAGGGCACCAAAAACTAGATTGAGATCACAGGAAGTTAGGAGTTCCTGAATCCTATATCTTAAGGAAGTAATGGTCTGAAACAAAATCTCTTGATCAGATGATGAACCAATACTCAGAGACCTTATGGTGAGTACTTGGAGTACCTGGCTACAAAATTTGTCAAGACCTAAATGGAAAAACCTCATAATATGAGGGATAGAAACTTGCAAAGTATGTATATTTATTTTGGCTCAAACCTTGATTCAAGGCATCAATTGGTAAGATGCAAATTTAATTTTGTTTGCAAAAAAGAGAATGCCTGGAGATGTACATTCTGTTAAGTCAGCTTTATTTCATTAATTACAGAGTAGTCACTTTTCTCTTTCACAAATTGGATTACTATTTGCCCTGTATGTCTGCATACTAGCAGACTATGAATTATATGATCTAGAATAGATAAGTAAAAAGGACAGCTACACAAATTTATGTAATTAGTTAATTAAGTTGGTCAGTCTCTGGGGATGCCTGCAAATTGTATTTCTATCTAATCAAGCTTCCATAATGAAGGAATCCACTATGTAATTTAGCATTAGTAAGCTGGACATGTAAGACCTTTTTAACAATATTTTTGTTGTTGTTGCAGTAATTGTCAATTATTCAGTGTTGAAATAGTGGAGTACACTAGAGAATTAACAGCAGCAAGCACAGGGCAGGGTTCAAATGCAATACATTCCCAAGGACTGAACCAATCAGGCACACATGTAGCAAACACAAAAAATACGTTTGATTTGAAGCTAAGGCTGTATCACCGTGTGTAGATTATTATATACCTAGAAATAAATGTTCACATTGTATTTCTAAAGCATACATTTCTTAACATATTGTGCAAAGGTTATTTCAACTAAAATCATATGAATTAAAAATCAAACCTACTATATTAAGGTTTATGTACAAAGAGCATTTTTAAGTCAAGGTTCTGAGTGTAGCAATCACCATGGGAATCAATGGAATGTTCCTGTGGAACTTTGCCCCAGAATGACTTTTTATATATCATTCACTTTTGCCAAGTGCAACAGTCGCGTTTCCATATGTAGTGCTTGAATACTGCATAGATGATAACTAATATAAAACTGAAATGTGAAGTTTTAGCTAACCTAGCAAGCTCTTCTGTGTTACTGTAGTAATACATTCAGGAATGGATTACCTTATAGGAGTTTACGACATGTTGCATTGTCAGGAACGTCAAGCATACAGTGCTTCTCGCAATACTGAACAATGCACTCTAGTGTCAACTAGCAATGACCCTGCTTTAATGAAAGGATGATTTGCAGTACAAGATCAGTACTTCTATCAACCATGTAATAAAAGCATAATATAGAAAATTTAACTATCAAACTGTGTAAGACAGGGTTTCTGGTTTACGGTAGATGTTTGGAGGACATGGTCAAATTACTGTAGTCCATGTACAATGGGACTTTCATAGCAGGAGACTACAAGAACACACTGTTACATATACAGATTACAAACATGGCAGATCTTAAAACAAAAATCTTAATACCTCCATCTGTAGTTTGATTTAAAGGACCACTCTAGGCACCCAGACCACTTCAGCTTAATTAAGTGGTCTGGGTGCCAGGTCCTTCTAGGGTTAACCCATTTTTTCATAATTATAGCAGTTTCAGAGAAACTGCTATAATTATGAATGGGTTAAGCCTTCCCCCTAATCCTCTAGTGGCTGCCTCATTGACAGCCACTAGAGGCGCTTGCGTGCTTCTCACTGTGAAAATCACAGTGAGAGCACGCCAGCGTCCATAGGAAAGCATTGTAAAGGCTTTCCTATGAGACCGGCTGAATGCGCGCGCAGCTCTTGCCGCGCGTGCGCATTCAGCCGGCGGGGCGTAACGGAGGCGGAGAGGAGGAGGAGAGCTCTCCGCCCAGCGCTGGAAAAAGGTAAGTTTTTACCCCTTTCCCCTTCCAGAGCCGGGCGGGAGGGGGTCCCTGAGGGTGGGGGCACCCTCAGGGCACTATAGTGCCAGGAAAACGGGTATGTTTTCCTGGCACTATAGTGGTCCTTTAACAAGTTTCTGCTAAAGCATGCAACATGACGTCTTGCAGAATTACAAAGTAATACCAGGAATAACAAAGTGCAGCAATACCAAGGATTTTGGCTACAGCTTTTTTAAAAGGCTGGTTGAACCTTATGAGAGTGATAAAGGTAACCCTAAAAAAAAAAAAAAAGCTACTTGGGAGGCATGATATTTTATACCTTTCAAATTCACCTATAATAAAAAAAAACTAAAACCCTTACACCCAGATTCATTATAATGATGTAAAACTGAGGTTACAGAGACAGTCTAGGCACCATAACCACTTCATCTCATTGAATTGACCATGGCATCTGGAGTCTCTTATAACTGTCTCCTAACATTAGCTCGAGCAGTGATGGGTGGCAATGATTGGCTGAGAGCAACAGCTGTCACCCTTCACTGGCGTGAAGCCTCTGCCATCCCCCCAGCGGAGCCCAAACTGCAGAAATCCAGCTTGAAAATGGTTAACATAGTCTGTGACACAGCACCAGAGGAACACAGTCACCATAACAACTTCAATGAGATGAAGGCATATGTCTGAGTTGTTTCTTCTTCGTATATTTAATGTTACTGCTGTGAATCTCTGTAATTAAAAACAACATCCTACACATTACTGTGTGTCTCATTATTAGGAAAACCTTAACAATGCAGATTAATGCAACTTACATTGCTGGAGCTCTGTAATACAAACATACCCAGCACACATGAGATTTATTATTGTGGAGTGCTGGGGTACACTCCGAATCAATTCACATTTATTTGTTTTATTGCTGTGAAGCTGTGAGGTAAAATTGTAATGGAGCTCCGGGATGGACACACGGCCTATTGCTGTCTGTGGAGCATTATAATACATTTCTACACACAGCACATTACTGTTGGGATTCTGTTTTTGGAGCTCTGTGATACTACTACACCTAGCTATGGTATGCAATACTGTATAGCTCCATAATACTCGCATATACCACACATTGTCATGATATTTTTTTGCTTTGGAAATGGCTGTGGATCATGTGAGCTTTATTTAAATGGGAAAGACTCATTTTACTATACGATGAATTTTATTCACTAAAGAATTGAGGAAAATTGAATGGAGAATTCTAAATGTAAGACCAAGGTAGCATAGGTAGTAAAAAGTGATTTGTGAAATTGAACACAAACCCAGTGAATGTGTTTGCTTACCTTAAGGCAAGCATGTACATTTTTTTTTTTTTTATTGCCTGAAGCTAAATGGTACTAAGTAGTGAATAAAACAGCTAGTAACCAATAGTGAATTCTTGTAGCGTGCAGGGAAGAAATATGAAAACATATCTATAAATGTTTTATGTGTTTTTTTGCACAGTTTATAATGTTAGAAGTTTTTTGGCAGTTAGTAGTGCCCCCGTTCATACTTTTGAATGTTAAACCTTGAGGACCCTCCTATATATGGTTCCTGAAAATGCCACAGCTAAAAACGACAGCTTTGCCAGTGTCTATGCGCAGCACCATATGCATCCTAGTGCTCACTCAGAAAGGTACTGGGAATGTTAAATCATTCATTTATAAGTTAGAAATAATTATTTTTTATATTATTTTGAATTTGTATGACATGTTTTCACCCTTTGTATTCATTTTTCAAACAGCCAACCTCCCTCCTTGTTTTTTTTGCACATGCCCAGTTTTATTTCTCTGTGCTGTGGGGATTAATTCCCCTGCAGCACGGAGTCTATTAAACAAACGAAAAGGTAATGCATTCGGCATTTGCCGTTTCATTTATATTTCGTATGTAGGGTGTTTTTTTCACATATTCCTAAACGAATACGAAAAAAAGCATTTATGGACAAAAAAAACGACTTTTCGGACGAAATCGTATTCGTACGAAAATGAATGCACATGTCTATTTACATGTTGCTGTAGGTGCATTTATAACTAGTCCCTCTCATCTTAAATGTTTCCTGCAGCACTACAACATTGGGATATAGCTGTAGGTACACGGAGATAATTTTTTTAAACCACTCCAAAAAGCCTTTCTGCACCATAACTACTACAATGACAGGCCTCTCAGCAGTCCTAATTTTGGTTTGTTTGTGTTTTTATTTCAGTCCTGTCCTGACTTTATCTGGTCTGCTTTTGGTACAAAATATATATACCCTGCCCTTATATATGTTAAAAGTAAATGCTATGGAACAATGTTTACAGCTGATAGCGGATGACCCTGTGACACAGATTTCTTATGAAAGGCAGGTGCAAACATAGCTTTATTAAAGTATTACTGGTGAGGTACAGTCAATGCATTAAGTTACAGCTAATGAGAATGTATAGAAAGAATAGATGATGATGTCTACATCTTAAATAGGCAAATTAAGGCTGACCCACTTTCCAGCTAGATGTGACAATGCCAATTTGTCTTCTTACTTTTGCAATTCTGCACTTTGCATGGATTCTAGTCATTTCTTATTCTGTGACACAGCTGAAGAAAGTTCGACTACTTAGCTATTGGGGAGTGGGAAATTGCTTAGTTTTTTTACAACTTTTCAGTGACACAGCCGCTTAAAACAAATAATTGCAAAGGTAATCATGAAAATGAATATTTAATGTATGCTGAGACAAGCAGCAGAGTTCTAAAATTCTCCTGCTATAGTTTAAAAAAGAAAAAATCCTCTTAAATATTTACACTGTATTGTGGTATGATCCAAAACTTTAGATATAACCTTTGGTGTAAAACTGCAAACTCTTCATAATCATGTTTCTCAAACCATTTATTATGTAACCGGGATTGAGTGTACGGAGATAAACTTGTTCCAACATAAAACAAGGCTGTAGTCTGTACATGCTATACTTTTAAAAACCATATCTGGTCAGAAGACCAACAGCAGGCCTTCCAACAGTCCCAATTTCAGCAGGGCAGTTCATGTTTTATGCTGTCAGTCAGCCTTGTGTGATTGAGGTCAGGATGTCATGCCCCTTTAATGGGCAGGCCCACCCCTTAAAGGGTGGGCCAGTGAATTCTGGGCAATGCAAGTGATGCACATTTGGTCACTGGTGATGCCCTCCTAAAGGCCTGCACAAACTTCCTGTTCTCAGATCTCCCAATATTGGGAGGTATGCAACAGAGGATATTCCTAATATACAACATGGACACTTTGAGAAGTCATTTCGGACTCATCTGTGTTATATGCTCAGTATCTTTTTAGGTGAAAGTGTTCGTATTTTATTATCGAGTGATTTGGAAATGTAATTCATTCTGTACTGATCAGATAAGATTGGTGACAAATAATTGCTTAACGATGTTATGGCAACAGGTGGATAATTAAACCTTCATTACATGTACACATACATTTTTAATACCAAACCAGTAGCAAAATGGCTTAATGCATTATTCTAATGCAAATATTTTTCACACCTCCCAACATTTCAGGTGAACACAGACGGGCACTTTAATTTTAGGGGTGCGGTAAGAAGCAGAATGGTTTCTAAACACATTTATTGACGTTTAAATACACATTACTTTTAGTCTCATTGCTGTGGAGCTCTGTTATACACTCAGAGCACCTAGAAAAGAGGGACATTAGTGATTTGAATCAAAAATAGTGACTGTCCCTGCTAAATAGGGACACCTGGGAGATATGATTTTTACTGTCAGTATAAATGTAAAAAGTGGCAACACATTCATATATTGAGGAAACTACTGCTCAGAAACTGTCTGGATAACTGGCTGTGTATATGTTGTTCACGCTATATATGTCTTGATAATGCGACAGACAAGGTGCCCATATCATTTCCTTATCTGGAGTTGCTTGTTTTGCAGAACGATTTTTAAAACATTTAGTGACCTACAGGATGCATTTTCGGAGCATTTCCAGGTAATGTAGATGTTGGTGTCATTCTGATCACAAGGGCTCGCAGGATTGTTCTTCAATATATTCTCGCTACACACTGTACAAACGCAAAATGAACATGTATTATCAGAAACCTTTAATAGAAAATAGGGGAAATGCAGTAACTACCTATGCTACGGCCTATGCTGCTAGTGTACATATACAGGTATTTGATCGATCTGCTTGCTTTGTATATTTGTTTATTGGTTGTGACTGCAACAGTGGTCTCTAACGCGACTGATGCATGATGTAAATGCACTCATTAAGGTAATAGTGCTGGACTGTTACATGTAAATATGTATCATTATTAGAGATGCTATTTTTGCATGCTTTTGTACCATAATAATAAAAAAATATTAATTAAAAGGGTTGTTAATCTCTTCCTTTGCAAAAAACAAAAACAATGATTCTCACTTTAATTTGTTTAACATCGGCACCACACACACACACACATACACACACACTGTGGTGTTTAGCAAACACTTTTCAACTAAATCATGTTGATGTGGTAAGTTTGGAAGTGATAACACAAACTAATGAAAAATACCACGTCATACTGTCAAGCCTATTATGCATGAAACAGATGCTGTATTCGTACATAAGTGCAATAAGTATTTCCACTTTATAATGTCAGTTGGACCATATTAGAATGCAATGCAGGAAAACTACAGCTATCAGACTAACCATTTAAAAAAATAAAAAGAAATATGAACTATAAAGCTTGGAATTGTATTGGTGAACAAAAATGGGTATTGTTTCATAAAATAGGACTGGGACTGCCAATAAAACCACATTTATCTTGCACCCCCATTTACATGCGGTTTGAAGGTGGAAACTTTGGACCCAGTGTGGGATTTAGACTGTTCCAGGGCTACAGACCCTGTGCTTCACTCCTTCACTGCTTCCCCTCCACAAGTGCTATTAGGAAGTGATCTATCCAGTGGCATTCTTAATGGGGCGAGGGGTGGCCCAAACTAGGTGACAGGCAGTAGGGGTAGTGCTGGCATCTGCCTACTGGGGCATTGCTGGTTCGGGTGGATATATCAGTATATGTGTGCATGAATGTGTGTTTGTCTATGAGTCTGTGTTTGCATTGAGGCTATGCATACCTCCCAACTCTAGCATCCTGCAAAATGGGATGCCGGTGGAAGGAAAGAGGTTGATGTGATTGCGTAACTAGCTCTGCTCCCAATGGGTCAGACCCACTGGAAAGGAGGTGGGTCTGCCCAAGTAAATGGCAGGTTAGCCTGGCGTGAGTGCAGTCAAGGCAGTCTGTCTATCATGCAGGTCGGCCCACTGAGGAAGCACCGTTTCAGTTTTCCATGAAGGGTCTTAATGCCATAATCCTAGCGTGATCATGTCTATTGATGCACTTGCTCTATGAATGTTGAGGACAGTTCCCTGTTGTCCCAAAAAGTGACCAGGCAGCAGGGCCGGCGCTACCTGTAAGGCGACCTAGGCAGCCGCCTAGGGCGCACCTTAGCAGGGGGCGCCGGATCCCTGCGCCCTGGTCACTTTTTGGGACAAGCCTCAGGCGGCGCAGCACTGCTGTGGAGGGCGGACAGATTTGAGTGACCGGCAGGAGGGAAGCGCAGAGCGCTCCCTCCTGCCGGTCTCTCAATGTAGCGTAGCCGGGCAGCGCGGAACGCGGGACAGGAACCTCTGTTTCCTGTACCCGGCCGCCGGCGGACTGACAGGAAGTGCTCACTGAGTGAGCACTTCCCTTCAGTCCGCCGGCGGCCGGGAACAGGAAACAGTAGTTCCTGTCCCGCGTTCCGCGCTGCCCGGCTACGCTACCACCAAAGGGGGGTAAATAGGGAGGACCACTAAGGAGCGGGGAGGAGGGTAAGGACCACTAAGGGGGCGGAAAGAGGATAATGACCACTGAGGGGAGGAGATTACCATTAAGGGGGTGGGGGAGGAGGGGAATGTCTACTAAGGGGTTTGGGAGAGGGAGGACCACTAAGGGGGAGAGGGGGGAGTGAGAAGACCACCAAGGGGGGATTACAGGGGGCCAAGGGAGAGCACTAAGGGACAGAAGGGGAGAACATGGAGGGACAGGAGGGAAGGGGAAATCAATCATTGACAGGAGGGGAGAGCACTATGAAAAAAATAAAAAATAAAGAGTTGCTCCCATCTCAGTCCCTATCTTACCCACAAACCTTCTCTTTTACACTACACACATACACAATGCATCCCCCCCCCCCACACACAGAAACATACAATGCATTCCTACTCACACACAGACACACCCGAAACACACAATGCATCCCTTACGTTCACACAAACACTCATTCTCTTACACACAGAAACAAAATGCATCTCTTACACAATCAATGCACCCCTTACAGACACACACTGCATTCAATTAAATACACAGAAACACACCTTGCACCCCTTACACACACACACCCAGAAACATACAATGCATTCCTTACACGCAAACACACACTGCATCCCCTATAAACACACTACATCCCTTACAGAAATTGGTATCCCTATACACTACATTCTATAAGAACACACACACATTGCATCCTCTACAATAACACATAAAACATCCCCTACACTCATACACTCCACTTCCTGTGAGAGAACTCATGGGTGGGCCATGGAGCTGAATTTATGGGTGGGCATTGTAGGCATACTCACGGTCAAGCCCTGGGGCCCAGACCGTGAGCTTTGTAAGGGGCCCTAAAAAAATGGAGCTGCTTCCTGTTCGTTAATTGTTGTGAGCACTGTTACAAACAATCTCCAGAGAACCTTTTCTACACTAGACCTGTGGAGCCAGACTGAGCCCATCATCAGCCTCTTCTCCTCATCTGGTGGTAAGTAGGCAATCCAATATATTATTAGTGGTACTAATCTCTAATTTACCTCACATTAAATGGATACTATAGTCACCAGAAGCATTACAGCATAATGTAGTGGTTCTGGTGTCTATAGCATAGTCTGTGCCTGTAGGCTTTTTAATGTAAACACACTGTCTTTTCAGATAAAAGACACTTTGTGAAGACTGGCGTTGGCCCATATGGCAGAGCATATAGGCGGGGCATTGTGATGTCACATGATGGGCAGGAAATATGGGGGAGGGGGGCGGCAAAAAATTTTTTGCCTAGGGCAGGAAAAATCCTTGCACCGGCCCTGGGCTTGATACGCATCGTGTCTCCATCACTAGAGAGATTGCCCGCGAAATTCCAAGCCAGAAACTAATTATTCCACCATTAGAGGGGTATATATAGCAGGAATTAGCCCAAGTAGAGCTTACAAATACTTTTTTTCACCCAGCTGAGGAAGCCATTGGAAAAACGCGTCCTGGGAATTGTAAGCTTTAAGACACTGTATTTTGGACTATTGCCGAATAAGTGTATTTATGGTATTGTATTTTAATGTTTTTTTATATATTAATGGTAAAGTATGCAATTTTATTACACTAACGGCACTTTTTCCTGCTATTACAAAGAAGGAATGTGGTCTTTAACCACATATGCGATTTAATTTGAGCCTATTGGAAGGCTCTGGGTTTGTGAGTACTAGACATGTGCAATTCGTTTCGGTCCGAATGTGAAATCGGATGAATTTTGGGCAATTTGAACATTCGGGTACTTCCGAAAGTCCAAATAGATGAATTGTCGAAGTCCCGAAGTTGATGAAGTTCCGAAGTGTCGAAGTTCCGAAGCACAGTATTGCCTAAGAACTAATATACCCAGTGGAAGAATGTTCCACTGTATACAATTTTTTTTTTTTTAAAGTATACAAACATAGCCAGCATTCAGCTGTAAGCATTTGCAACACTTACAACAATCAAGTAACATACATTCATATAAAATGTAAGTTACTTAGCCAGTCAATGTAATGACAGGAATAAATAAGGAGATAACTCCCTAATTCATACAGTATTAGGGAGCTATCTACTAAAAGGCTGAAAGACCTAAATTGGTCTTTCAGCCAAATTTACTAATGCTAAGTAAAGATTACTTAGTATTAGTAAATTATGCCCCTACTTGCTATACCGCGAGTAGGGGCATGTCTATTAAACAGTGAGCAGCCGGTGGCCCCCCTCCTGAGCCCCCACCTGCAACGCGCGAGTGGGGGCTTTTAAACTATTGCCCCCCCAGACCCACCCCTGAGCGGCGGGTGGAGGCCCTAAAATAATGGGGGGGACCTATTCTCCTCCCTCCCGCCCCCACCCCTGAGTGGCGGTTGGGGGCCCTAAATCAGCATAAGGGGGGGACCTAATGTCCTCCCTCCTGGTCCCCACCCCTGAGCGGTGAGTGGAGGCCCTAAATTAGAATAAAGGGGCGACCTAAAGTTCTCCCCCCTGACCCTCACCCCTGAGCGGTGGGTGGGAGCCCTAAATACTAATAAGGGGGGGACCTAATGTAAATAAAAAATTAACCCCCCTCCCCAAAAAAAAACTAACCCCTACATACCCCCCTCATCCTAAAAATAATGGGGGGGGACCATTAACTAAGTACCTGTAAAAAAAAAAAAACTTACCATTTGATGTTTTCTTTCTTCTAAAATCTTTTTTTAGCCCCAAAAAAGGCCAAATAAAAAATCCATAATAACCGACGCATTTAAAAAAAATAAAAAATCCTTCTTCACCCATGGAGGGCTTCGCGCAGACTGAAATCCACCAATTAGAGTGCTCTGTGTCATTTTATACAGCGTGGGAAAGTTCTTTGGATATTTACTTAGTATTAGTGAATTTGGCTGAAAGACCAATTTAGGTCTTTCAGCCTTTTGGTAGATAACTAATACCGTGGGAATTAGGGAGTTATCTACTAAGCGGCTGCAAGAGAAGTGCTGATGTTCCGAAGTTGTCGAAGTGCCGTATTGCCGAAGTCCCGAATTGCGGAATGCCGAACCGAAAATTTTCCCCATGCACATGCCTAGTGAGTATCTATTTCACTTCATATTGACCATCCATACAAGGAACAACAATATTGCACTATATGTGTTTCCTCTCATAATATTATATAGGACAGAACACCAAGAAAATTGACTGCACAGAAGGGAAAGGGTAGCCTCAACGGATAAGGCATACAAACTTGAGCTAAGGTTTTGTGAGTGGTTACTTGGCATAATATCTTATATTATAATCTTTTGTACAGTATGCACTATATGTATTTTTGTTTCCTTTTTAAAGGGATATTACGCAAGTACTAGAATTCCAAAGTAGGGAACTCTCTTAAAGGTATATTTCTTTATACACTGTGTCCTACAGTCTGTAATTCCACAGGAGCACACGCTTTTACGCCCTGGCTACAATAGAAGTGGGGAACACTTAAGCATGAACCGCAGCGACTTAATACCAATGTCATATTATGAAAATATACTGTCATAATGTAAAAGGGTTAAACACCCCACATAAACGCCACTGCCTATTCCGCAACCTGAAGCTAAATCAAGCAGATGTGGTTTGTCTCCAACAGACGCACTTCAAAATCCCCCCTGACTTGAAACCTGACCTATAGCCAAGGCAGATATGCCATTTTAAGCTGCACAATCAATAATGCCTTATATACCATAGCCACAGACTATGCTCCCAAGATCCAGCCTATCCAAAAGGAGATGGTTCTATGTGGTGACTTCAGTCACATATTAGACCCAAAATGGGACTCGACTTCTTTGCTTGGGTCAACCAGTAAGGTCAGACAGAGCAAGACGTGCGCCTCCTATAGGAATTTGCCTGACAAGCATCATCTGTATGGTGTTTGGAAGGTATTACACCCACAACAGAAATACTTCACATTTTATTCAATGACTCACAAGACATACTAGAATTGATAGGTTCACATAGACAGACAGCACTTGGATCAATCACCTGGTCAGACCATGCTGCAATATCCCTGACGCTTAAAGACCAATACGATTATAAACACAAAAGCCCATGGCGGTTGACCGAATCTATTCTACATGATGCCACATTTGTGTCATCCATTGAAGAAGTCCTAGTACAATACTTCGAACAAAACCAATCCCCCAACACGCGTGAGAGCACCCTATGGCAGACCCACAAACCAGTCATCAGAGGATTGATGATCCAACATGCATCACAACTACAACATACGTGCCAAACACACTGGATAAGTTGGCATAAACAACTATTTGAATTAAACAAACAGAACCAATCGGACCCCAATGAGTGCCTGCAAACCAAAATAAATGATTGACTGAATAAGATTAGGACACACATGCTACAACAAGTGAGCTATAACCTACAAAAATTGAAGGCAAACCAATATACACAAGGTAATAAAGCCAGCAAATTATTAGCGGCTCATTTAAAACATAGAGAAGCCAAGGCTAAAATTCCATACATAATCAATCAGAGTAATGAGAAGAGTAATCTCCCCTATAGAAATAAGCAACTCCTTTGCAACCTACTATGAAGGGTTGTAAAACTTAGCACAAACAGGCCAAATGGCAAAGATAACCATGAAGGATATACATGACTATTTAGCGAACATACAAGTACCAAGCCTCTCGGGGGACCAAAAGGATTCCCTTAAAGCTCCGATCTCCATAGAGGAAATCAAGGAGGCTATCAAGTTACTACCGAAAAACAAAGCCCCAGCCCTTGACGGGTTCTCAAACCTGTACTACCAAAAATTCCAACACATACTTGCCCCACGATTAATGTTCTTATTCAATTCAGTCACGCAAACAGGCACCCTACTTAAAGAACTACTATTAGCCCATGTAATCACTTTCCCCAAGACAGGCAAACGCCAAACCACTGCCCAAACGTCCGACCAATATCACTGCTAAATACCGATGCCAAATTATACACACACAGAGGCAAGTACACACGCAGAGGCTGAGCCTTATTCTACCACTTCTGATCCATGATGATCAGGTGGGTTTCATAGCAGGAAGACAAGGTTTAGACAACACCCGTAAGGTATTGGAATTGGTGCACAGGCTGAGGAGAATGGGGGTTAGAGGTCTTCTGTTGTCACTAGATGCAGAGAACTGGGACTTCCTTGGAGCAGTACTACAGAGATTCAACTTTCCCGATGAGTTTGTACGGGTTGTGTTAGCCCTATGTAGCAAACCCTCCACCAGGGTGGTCAACGCAGGATTCTGTTTCAGGGCTAGTACATAAAGCATTGCTTTATGTACTAGCCCTGGAGCCCCTGGCAGCAAAAATAAGAACAACAGACACAACAGACACACCCGAATGTTCAGAGGAGTAACCCTGGGAAACCAGGAATACAAGGGCAGCCTTTTTGCGGACAATGTGTTCCTCACATTAATGCAACCCCACATAGCTATGACATACCTCCTGCAACTCATAGAACAATACAGGCGCCTGTCATACTATAGATTAAATATTACAAAAACACAAGCCCTCTGTATAAATATTCCTAATCAGCAGATGGAACTCCTTAAGAAGAACTTCTCACTGGACTGGCGTTCAGACTCACTTACGGTTTTAGGTATCAAAATAAAAAAAAAACCTGGCTAACTTGTTCAAAGCCAATTATCTCAGCATTCTCTAAGTCTTCAAATCCAAGCTACAGACATGGGAAGGAAAGTTTCTCTCTTGGTTGGGTCTCATTGCAGCACTTAAAATTTCCTTACTTAAGTGAGAGTGGTTACCAAACTCATACAAAACATACCTTCTAAAGGGGGCCGGGGCTTCCCTGTCCTCCTAGCCTACTACAGAGCAGCGATCCTTAACACAATATCACTGCTAAATCCAAGTAAACTTCCCCCAATGGCTGCACATTGCAACATTTGGGCTAAACCACTAGAACTGTATACACATTTATGGACCCCAGCGAGCCACAGACCACCAGTGCATCACCTTCTGCCCACATCCCAGTTGCTGATACTGGTGTGGGATGAGGTTAGGACTAACCAATGTTATGAAGATACTTTGAACCTATTTATCCTAGATTCCTATGACTAAGTATTGGGAGTGAGAGGGAACTGACAGACTATTGATGAGGCTTAATAGGTAAAGCATACAGCAACCTGTAGTGGACTACTGAACTTCCCCTTGGACTCCTGTACTGAAGTGGGTGTGAAGAAACTATCCCTGTTATTTGGGTACTTTCACCGACCACCCCCTGGTTCATTTACTTGAAAGACAACTGCCAATTTAGTGCTCTCCCTGTGTATAGTCGAACGCCACGTGTAAGATAAAATGGTGGCCATCTTGTTCACACAAAGGAAATAGCGCTACTAGGTCGTTGAGTGTCTGGAACCAAAATCGGACACTCGACTTCCCGAACACCAGTCAAACTTCCCGACCAGCCAGGAGAGCGCTATTTGGTAGATTTGTTCCCACGAACTAGAAGAACAAACGCTACCTATGAGCCAGGGGAACTGTTCATGGATTATTTCGTTTTTTTATACTTGTCGAAATAGACCGTCGGTCAAATTAAGACCTCCATGTAACTTTTAAACCCCTGAAGCGATCTGGGTGATTTTTGCATATGTTGGTCCCCCAGATCGGGGCTATCAGGAAATGTGTCTTTTGTGGGGTTCCCATTGATTTTGGGGTACTTTCTAAGTTTTGCCAAAATATCTGTTTTTTTGTGTTGGGAGATAATTGAGTTCAGTAAATTGCTTGACTCAATTATCTCCCCAATACAAGGGAAAATGTTATTACTGTATGTAGGAGTGTCCTGGACCTGAGAGCCAATAGACTTACAGAATGTATTGTGTCCCTGTGCCCTCTCAGGTCCAGTGGGGAATGCCCCTGGAATATGTTAACCGAAACTCTGTGTATTGTTCACTGCATAAAAGCCAGGCGGTTAGCCTGAGTAAACCATTCCTGTTACACCCTTCATCTAGTGGGTACCTGTCTACTTGGCTGAGAGAATATACTTGGGAGCTGTATTTTGTCTGGAGAAGCGTTCAAACACCCGAACTGCGAGCTATACTCACTCAGGCTCTAGCAGTGCGGGAGAAAATAGGCGAACGGGTACCTGTCATACCAGCGTTCGTTACAGTGGGTATATGTTTAGCAAATGAGAATAATACATCTACCCCCCACATCCTTTCTACTCCCTTTTTCCCCCCTCTTCTTGACCCATATCTTTTCATTCCCCTCTTTTCTTCCCAGATTTTCTCACTTCATACATTGAAGAGTTACTGCTAGCACATGACACGCTTGACGATAAGAATTTGAATTTCTTTGACATTATTGCCTTGAATTTGATTCTGTAAAATATTAATGTCAAGACTATTAATGTGACACTGTCTAATTGTCCATTTTATATGAATCACTAAGGTCAAAATTAAGATTGTCAAAAAAAAGAAAATATGTCAAGGTAGTTGGACTGAAACATTTGGTTATATGCCTGCCACATTTTTTACCACTGCACAACACTAGATTGTGTCGGAGGTCTTGTACAGGGAAAGGAAGGGAAAAAAGGGTTACAGGCCCTTTAAAAAAAATTTTTTTCTAACAAAATGAATTTAGTAATGAAGGGGTTATTAAACATTCAGTGTTCTTTTCCTTTTAGGCAGTTTTTTGGAAATAGTTCTTTTTCATTTGCAGATTGCTTCTATTGCACAATTTGTTACTGAAAGAAGCAGCAAACCTAAAAAGTAACTTTGTGTTGTGAATAGTGAGACGTGCTGTCATCAACGAGCAACTTGACAATTTAAGTATTGGTTCCTGCAATTAATACATTCCTGCTTTGATTCTATTTTGGTTTCTCTTGAAAATCATTCTTTACAAAGAATCTTTGGCCTGTACATTTGCATAAGTACTTTAAAAAATGCCTTGCATTGCCAAGTTCATTTCTACTGCTTCTGAAGAATAGAAATCAGAATTTAATTGAAAAACATTCTAGTTCTCAAAAATCTTTTCTTAGTAGATTTGTATTGAAATATACACAGACAGGCTGGCAGCCTTTACAGTGTATACGTGTAATTAAGTCCCTCTTTGTGACCACAAACTGTAGTTGCTTGTCACATACAAATTGCCAAACAGGTTGTTGTCCAAATGTGTTTCATATGTACTAACACTCTGTGATTCTTAGTATTATTAGGAGAAATAGAATTATTATATCCAGGCACTATGACCACTTGAAATCAATGAAATGGTCTTTTTTATATATATATATATATATATATATATAATTTTTTTTTTTTTTTATCACAATTTTCTTTCAATTTACACACAACACCCATAAAAAGTATTACATTACATAATACGGTAACATATTGGACAAACATATAGACAAAGACATACAATCGATCCATACATAAACATTTCTAGAGAACATATATTACTTTTTATTTCCCTTATTCATCTTCTTTATCTTGTCATTTTCATTATATTAGAAACCGAGACGTGTTTTGGCATTTTTCCATTCTCTTTCTTTTTTTCCCTTCCCTTTCTTTCCCCTTACTTTTCTTTTCTTTTTTCTCTCTTTTTAGCATCCTTCTCTCTTAGGTTTTGTATTCTATCAATAATTATTTTCCAATTATTAATTTTTGACATATTGTAAGAATTATTTATATTATATAGTTATACCCAATTCCATTCTAGCGCCTGGGCTTTAACTTCTTTCCATTCTGGTATCTTGTTACTTCTCCAATTTCTTGCTAGTACCATCTTTAAGGCTATCAGAATATGAGTTATCATCATTTTGTTTTCCTTGGACATTGTAGGCCATTCTAAGTGTAGTAATAAGTGGTAAACGGGTAGGGACAGGGGTTGGGGTAGAGTTATGAGTAGTGTTAGGGGTAGGGTTAGGTTAGTGTTGGGTTAGGGGTAGAGTTTGGGTTAGGGTTGAGTAAGGAGTGGGGTTAGGGTTGGGTTAGGGTACCCCTAGCCCTACCTTAACCCTACCCTAACCCTAACCCTCCTCCTAACCTAAACCCTCCTCCTAACCCTACTCCTAACCCAACCCTAACCTTACTTCTAACCCTACCCTAACCCATGCCGAATTTTGGATGCCGAACCGAACCAATTTTTTTTGCCCATGCACATCCCTAATCTTAGGTTTATTTTGGGTTGTTTTTTTGTTTTTTGTTTTTTTGCCAAAAGTAATTTCTTCTTTTGCCCAGGTAAATGTTTTTGTTTTTTTTAAAGAATTCTTTATCTTCACTGTTAACCCTATTTGTTGTTATAATAGTCTTGTTTACATTCAGATTATAATTAGAATATTCACTATAATGATCTATTGTTTTAATTCTGGCACAGATGTTCTAGGTCTCTCCAGAGTGATCAATACGTCATCCACATAGAGGTTTATTTTATGCTCTCCTTTTTTTCGTCACCAGACCTCTAATCCCCTGATTTTCTCTTATATCTGCCGCCAAGGGCTCTATTGCCAATACATGCAGCAGAGGCGAGAGGGCAAACATGCCTCGTATCAATTGCTATTGAAAACCATTCCGCTTCTATCCAAGTCTTCCTGGTATAAATCCCACTTGGTCTTTTTGTATTAATCCTGAGATGACTTTCTTCAACCTCTCAGCAAGGACAGTGGCAAATATCTTTACATCTCCATTTAAGAGGGAAATGGGGCGATAATTTGAGTTTGTATCCGGTTTAAGAATGAGGACAATATTTGCTTGCAGCATTTATATCGGGAATGTACGATCAGTGATGATCTGGCTGAACACTCTGGCGAGATGTTTGGCCAATAGATCTCTGAATATTTTATAAAACCCGTTAGTATATCCATCTTGTCCAGGTGCTTTATTTATTTTTAATTTATTTATTGCTGTTTTTATTTCTCCTTGTGTCATTGGGATATTCAGAGGATCTAGCTGCTCCTTGGATACTTTTGGCATTTTCCTATTTAGATAATATTTCAAAATAAGGGGTTGCTCTTAAATTATATAACAGTTTGTAGTAATCATTAAATGCAGCACCGATTTTCTTTGGGGTCATGCATACCTCCATCTCTGTCCTAATCCTGCAAATCTTTTTCATTTGTTTTTTACTTTTTAATTTATTTGAAAGTAACCTGTCTGCTCGATTACTCTTGTAATACCAGTTCATTTTTAAATAATGGCCATTCCTATACTTTTCTTCAATTAATAGCTCATTTATTTTATCTTGTATTGATACAAATTCTATACTTTTCTCCTTGGATGGTAATATTTTATTTAATTTAGATATTTTGTAATAGTTTATATATAGATCTGAGAGTGAGGCACCTCTAGTTATTTTTGCAATTGTTCTCAGTTTAATAAACAAAAACGAAAATACACTGCCCTAAGCTAAGGATAAATCCTAAAACATAACTTTTAATAGTAATAAAATAAAAAATAATAAGTACACACATAAATTAAAACAAGTGAACATAAAATGTAAGGGAACGTAGAAAAAATATAATACAATCAGTAATTAATTATATATAAAGACCTATATAGATAGGATGCACTAAGTACTAGATATAGTCTAGTAAGCTAGTGATAAATCCCAGGCTAAGATGTGTCAAAGAGGAGGATACTGTTACAATTAGATGTCTCAATAATTGTTGCACATGAAGAGCAAGATAAAGTCAGTATTCAAGATGGAGACAAATGTAGCAACTATTTCTTAGAATTATATCAATTTAAGGAAAAAGGGGAAATATCGGCTAAACGGGTGTTTGGAGATATAGGAGTAAGAAAACGTGTATATGGAGTCTTAATAATTGCGGCAGCAATCTACACAAAATCTTAAATCTAGAAAGGTAAATCTAATAGTGCTGCCTAAATGGAAGGTAATAAAAAGATATTACTGAAGTAAAAGTGTAAACAAAATAGTGTCAGTGATAGGAAAGACTGATATAAACGCTGTGCCTTCAAGGGCACCTATCAGTGCAAGTCTAACTTCATAGTTAAAAACAGAAAGACTAGTATCAAGTGAAAAAAATAATAATAATAAATCTGTGCCTTCGTGGGCACCTATCAAGATTTAAATAACTAGTCTAACTGTCTAAATGAAAAACCGAGAGTTCCAACAGCCTAATACCATAGAGTTATGTCAAAATAATATCAGCAACCGTAATGAAATATCTTTCATTGTTGTCTGTCAGGGTAAGAGGCTGGAGATCTTGGATAATAAGCCCCGACGTGCGCTTCGTCGGTAAGCGGCTCTTCAAAGGGAAACAGAATCCCTGTAAGCGCTCTATACCGTGATTGGCAGATTGAGAGTGTGGTTATGATGTCACACGACTGCTAATGAGAGAGGATGGTGGCTGATATATATACAGTTAGGCACTAGAATATGTTAAGCTCACAGCAATTTAAGAAAATCAACCGCTAGAAATGGATAAAAGGAAAATATGTTAATGGGGTTTACGAGCTGCCCAAGTAGATAACAGTATGTGCAGGAGATGATTTGTCACTGAAATACTATGGCTGGATATCTTATAAGAGAAAATGATCATTAAAGTAGTAGTTGAATATACCGGTACTGTAACAATAAAATATATAAACTCCGTAATGATTTCGGAAATCCATTACTGTACCAAAGCATAATAGGGAAAACAGCTAGAGTATGGGGTGATAGTTTAGGGTAAACTAAACAGAGAAGCTGAATGGATAACTATAAGAAATAAAATTAATAATGAATCACTGAAAGGAAATATAATGAATACTGGCAGTAAATGACTCAAAGTAAAGAAAATAATAAATCACTGAAAATAAATATAATTATTCCTGACAATGGAAATTGTGTTTAAAATAGATAGATTAAGATCCTAATATGTATACTCTGTATAGGTAAGCAAGTACAAATATTTAAAGCCAATCCTTAAGCTATAGATTGTGACAGAAAAGGAAAAGAAGTAAAGTGATATGACGATAGTAACGAGAAATTATAGCAAAATGAGTATTGTGAATGTGTGTAATAAAGAATCAGTTAATGAATTGTAATCATGAATAGAGAAAATAATAAGATGAAATCATAAATGGTCTGAAACGTGCCAATGAAGACTGAATTATTTATTAATATATGAAAGAGGTGTAAGGAGTTTAAGCATGCGTGGGATAGGCATAAGGCTATCCTAACTATAAGATAAGGCTAGGGACTAATGAAAGTATTTAGAAAATTGGGCAGACTAGATGGGCCAAATGGTTTTTATCTGCCGTCACATTCTATGTTTCTATGTAATTAAACTCCTCATTTAACCCTTGAGGGGCTAGGGTCTTAAAAGCATAAATCCATTGTGATTCCTTTTGTAGTAGTTATATGTTAAAATTGCCTTTCCTAGGGTTCGGTATGAGTTTCTCAAGAGCCTGGAACTTTAGATTATCCATTCTACCTTGATGGAAATTAGTAATGTGTCTGGCAACCGGTGTAGGTGTTACAGTGTTGGTAACTGAACCAACATGTTGAAGAATCCTACGTCAAAATTGTTGGAATGTCTTGCCGTAACTACAAGTAATCAAATACATAATACGCGTAGTGCTGCAATATACCAATGCATTGGTATCCACCGTGATATTTGACTGGGTAGGTCTAGTGAATTTGGATGGAATTATGCACTGGCACGCATGTATAGGTACCTTTAATTTGTGAAAACCAGATAAGTTTAGATGGAGTTGATTCCAGGTGACTGCGTACAGTGAGATCTTGTAAATTCCTGGATCTCCTAGCTGTAAGAGATGGGTAGGTAGGAAGTAATTTTGTTCCCAGTTAAATAAGATAACCACTTTTAACGCATTTATATGCGCTCCATACTACTGGAAAAGATACTTATTTCCCTTAATTTTCTAGGAAGTATTTTTCCGTCATCTCTATTATGTATTCTCTATTTTCTTTTTTCGATAGGATATTATCATTTAAATGCTCTGTCATTTTGGCTTTTTTATTATCTGGTGTAAGATCCACAATTAAAGCATTGTGGTCTGACCATATTATTTCATCAATCAATACTCTATTTATCCTATTTGCTATTGTCTCATTTCCCAGAAATAGATCTATCCTCGAATATGAAAAATAAGATCTTGAGAAACATGTAAAATACCTTTCCCCAGGATGAAATATGCACCAAAGATCCAATAAGCCATATTTTATGATAATGCGCTGAAAATTTGTTGATTTAGAAATAATATTTTTATTCTCCCTCCTTCAGACATTGTTTTCCTATCTAAATTTGCATCCAGTATCCGATTAAAATCTCCAGCCAAAAGTACTTTTCCTTGCTTAATTCTATCTATCTTATTCAATAGATCTGAGAAATATTTATTTGGTGGGCTGTTGGGAGCATAAACATTAACCAACGTAAACAGTTCATTCTGTATTTTGACTATAAGTATGATAACATGATCAATGTCTTGGTACTTGATCTTTACCTCTATATCCTCACTTATCAAAATGGCTACTCCTCTTTTCCTTTCTTTTTTCAAAGATGCACATACCACTACAGGAAACCTACTGGGAATAAATCTTAAGCTATCTGCTTTCCTCCAATGAGTTTCCTGTGTGTGTGTGTATTTGTGTCTGACTGTGTGTATGTGTGTGTCTGACTGTTTGTGTGTGTGTGTGTGTGTACTTAGAAGGTGGGGCGGGGGGAAGGGTTGGGTTGGGTTGGGGTGGCGCCGGGGGAGGGGGGTGCCTGAGTTTTGTCCTGCCTAGGGCAGCACAAAACCAGGATACACCACTGATAATGCCAATTTATTATTTGCTCATAGTGGGGATTTCCAACTTGTGTGTTATTATCATCAGATGGACAGAGATTAACTTTGAAAAATGCAATACAGTTAGACGAATGGCTCAGTAAAAACTAAGTATAACTGGTTCAAATACATAAAATTGCTTCTAACTATAATTATAGACTTGAATTAGAACAGAAAAGAAAATACTTTTTTTTTTTTATGTTTTGATAAGATAAATAATAAGTACAATTAGCGATA